ACAGACATGGCTAGATCGTCTTAGAATTTAATGAGGACCCAGAATATATATACTTTTGTGGATCTATGACCAATATTTCGATGTGTTACAAACGGAATGACAAAATCAATATACCCCCCATCTTTTTTGATGGTGGGTATAAAAAGTTCTATAAGAAAAGTATATTCAAAGAGAGACAATTTTTAGACAGAAAATGTCTGCAAAAGGAGATTGTTTTCAATAAGAAAAGTATCCAAAAGGAATAAATATTCTATAAGAAAGAGGTCCCCAAAATGATACGATTTTCAATAAGAAAAAAACCTCCAAAAAGCTAATTTTCTATAAGAAATGTGATTTCAATAATAGACATTTTCTATAAGAATAATATATTCAAAAGGAAACACTTTTCTGTCTCAAAAGGGTCTCCAAAAGGACATAGTTTTTTTTTTTATAAAAAAATGAGTTCAGAAGACGATAAGAAAAGTATCCAAAAGGAATAAATATTATATACGAAAGGCGTCTCAAAAATTAGACGATTTTTTTAAGAAAGTGTCTCCAGAAAAGTGCCTCCAAATAAGAAAATTTTCTATAAGAAAAGTATATTCAAAAGGAAATAATTTTCAGTCCAAAAAGTGTCTCCAAAAGGAGATAGTTCTTTTTATAAAAATTATGCCCAGAAGACGATATTTATCTCTCCCAAAAGATACAATTTTCACAAGAAAAGTTCCAAAAGGATTAAAAATTCTATAAGAAAGACAACTTCAAAAGGAGATAATTTCCTATAAGAAAGATGTCGCCAAAAAAAATTTCTATAAGAAACATGTCTCCAAAAAGAGATAATTTATATGAAAAAGATAGAAAAATGTAATTAAAAGATCATACTCCATAAAAAAGTATCTGTAAAAGGACATAATTCTCTATAAGAAAATAAGCTCAAAAAAGAAACAGTTTCTTTTAAGAAAAGAGTCTCTAAAAGACAATTTTTTCTACTGTTTTCCCTAATAACCAGTTACTTTTTCATTAACTTTTTTTATTAAATGTAACGCATTTTTTATTAAAAAAACAAATTCAAATTAAACTTGTTATGCTTCTCTAAATAGACAAAAAAATTAAACAGGCATAAAAACAATTAAATATTAACAGCAACAAAAAAAAAAAAAAAAAAATACTTAACAAATTACAAGTTTTATCAATTCGATCGGTTTGTTTATTTTTTTTACTAAAGGGTATGCCAAAATTAAAGATGCTAATTAAATCAAAAATTTAAAAAATCCATTTTGAACATTTTAAGAAATCGTTTGTTGAATAACCTATTTTTCGCAACAATCTGGTAACATTTTCTTATAAAAAGAATTGTTTGTTTTCCCTTTTTTAGGCTATGTCACAAATTTGAAACATTTTGAACGAAATATTCGAATCATGGTCGAAAAGCATCCATTATTTGGGAAATATTATCAAGTAATTATTAAATACTGTCAGCTGTCAAACTGATTTATAATTTTTGACAGCTACTGGTGTAAAAATTTAAATTTTTACCTAATTTTTAAACACCCTTTACAATAAAAATTTACAAACTTTTAAGTCTGTTTTGATAATGTGTCTGTCTCTTTAACATTTAAATTTAAATGTACAAAAAAATTTAATTTCTTTTTGCGGTTAAGTTTTGTAAATATAACATCAATTTTATTCGTATGCACAACTTTTTTGTGAAAAAATTAAATTGAAATGCTTCAAATTCGCTTTTATTAATGAAAACGAAAGTTTATTTAACATTTAAAACTCTTTTATTAAATAATCAATAATTGCAAAACATTTAACTTTAATCTTAAAATATTTCCTTTAAGGAAAATTAAATATAAACTTAATAAAGATTAATTATTAACCACAAAAAAGTTAATAAATTAAGGCAAATTAATCTTTAGAAAAAAGTAAAAGAATTTTTTAGAAAAATGTTTTAAACATTCCACTATATATATTTTATATATTTTTCATTTATTTGTTTCCCTGATTATTTGTTTCTAATCTTATCTGAACAGGTTTTTTTTTGCAAATTAAAAAAAAAAAACTTCTTTATAGGTTTTATGTAAAAGGCTGTTTTTAGTGTTATAAAATTTTCTGTTGGTTACACTGTTTTCACTGTCGTTTTTGTTGCCACTACTGCATAGTTTAAAGTGGCTAAATGCAAGGCTACAAAATTTTAAATTTGCTATAACTTAAAAGATTTTAAAATTTTTACTTAATTGTTTATATAGCAATGGGACTACATTTGTTTCAATATAATTTTTATACTAATAATAATACACCCTTTAATTTGCAACCCATGCTCTCCTTGGGACATGTTATCTCGCGAAATGTTCAAAAATATCTTATCAAAAATTAATTTTGATAACATTTGCTTATTTATTTGAAATGGCAAATATTTGTTTAAATACTCATCTCAAAAAATATAAATATCTGCGTATTTTTAAGAAATATTTCTAATGACTGGTCTATATTTAAGTCTATAACCTGGACTATAATTGAGACAATTGTCTTAACTGTACCAGGACTATAGTTTAGTCGATAATCTTGCCTATAGTTCAGTTAATAGTTTATACTATAGTCTAAAATCTATTTTGTGGCAAAGTATAGAATTAAATATAATCCAGACTATAGTCTTAGCTATAGTCCAGACTATGGTCCACACTATAATCCAGACTATAGTCAAGACTATAGTCCAGACTATAGTCCAGACTATACCTGCACTATAGTCTGCACTATAGTCTGCACTATAGTCAAGGCTATAGTCCAGACTATAGTCAAGGCTATAGTCCAGACTATAGTCAAGGCTATATTATTAGTCGAGACTATAGTCTTTACTATAGTGCAGACTATAGTGCAGCTATAGTCTGGACTATAGTCTGGATTATAGTGTGGACTATATTCTGTATTATAGTGTGTACGATATTCTGGACTATAGTTAAGACAATAGTCTGGACTATAATTAAGACTATAGTCTGGACAATTGATAAGATTATAGTTAAGACTATAGTCTGGAAAACAGTTAAGAATATAGTCTGGAATATAGACTATAGTCCACACTATAGTCTTAACTATAGCCTTTTTTTATAGTCCAGACTATACTCTTATCTCTATTCACGGCCATTGTCTTACCAATCAGCCTTAACTACAGAAAAGACTTTAGTCCAGACCATAGTCTTAACTTTATTCCAGACTATATTCTTAACTGTGTTCCATACTATAGCCTTAACTATAATCTTATTAATCGTCCAGACTATAGTCTTAACTATAGTCCACACTATAATCTTTATAATCTTTAATATATTCCATACTATAGTCTTAACTAAAGTCCAAACTATAGTCTTATCAATGGTCCAGACTATAGTCTTAAATATAAATCAGACTATAGTCCAGACCATAATCATAACTATAGCTTAAATATATAGTAGTCTAAAGTCCAGACTATAGTCTAAAGTCCAGACTATGGTCCGGATTATAGTACAGACTATATTCTTAACCAAAATAAAGACTTATCTGTAGTCCATACTACAGACTTATTTATGGCCCTAGACTATATTCTTATACGTAATCTTTAACTATAGTTTAAACTATAATTACAGTTAAGATTATAGTCCAGATTATAGTATAAACTGTAGTTAGCTACAGTTGAGAGTTTCTTTTCAAATAGTTATTAAATAACTTAAGACAGTTTTATCTATAACCATTCAAACTAAATATAAACTAAAGATTAAACAATAATATATAAAATAATTTATAATCTCTTTCCCCCAAAATATTAACCTACAACTACTTCTAAAGCGATTAAATTAATGTGGGGGAAAAAATACGCAGCAATTAATTTCTATTACATTTTTGATAGATTTAGCAACAACAAAAAACACACAATAATTAAAAATTTTCAAGGTTAGATAAGACCCACAACCAAAAACGAACTACAAATTAAAAGCAAAACCTTTAAAGAATTTTAAAAGTTAAAATTTTTAACTAATATTTTGTATATTTTTATTGTCAAGTTCACCAAACCACGTGATAAATGTTTGTTTACTTTTATTCTCAGAATTTTTAGCACACGAGAAGATTTGCAATTAAAATTAGTTTTAGATTTGCTGGAAAAAATATATGTATACATTTATAACATGCTAAATGTTTAATACTTAATTAATTAAATAAAGTTTAAAGCGAATTTTTTCAAAGTCAAGTTATAAAAGTTATAAAAAGGGACCCAACAGGTTATGATTATGAAGTTAGTGGCGAATTCTGGCAATATTAGAAAAATTAATCAGCTCAAAGGTAGTAATTTACAAAGTAAAGTTATTTCAACAGAAGTCTAATTCGGCTAAATTTTCTGAATTCGCCAGTAAATAACTCTACCTTGGCCGGCTCTGTCAATGTACCGTGAATAACAAATAAATATTAAAGCAGTGATGTCAATGCAGCAAAAAAATTGTTTTAAATATAAAGCTTTTAATAAAATAACTTAAAATTTTATTACGCATATTTTTATAAAACATTTCCACAAATCGTGTTCGTGATATCTTAAATTCTGAAGATTATGAAAAATATTTGTTTTCATCTTTAATTGTCCAGTTTATTTTTATATAATTTTTTATTAACAAATTGGCAATAATTTTTTTATTTAAACAATATTTTTAAGAATTTTTAAATAAACATAAATTTAAAATAAATTGTTATTAATATTTAACTTTTCTCTTTCTGTTTTCTTTGCAGATTCTTTAAAAAGAAATTCCTCGAAGCTTCCTTAAAGAAAAATTAATATAAAAAGAAAAATAAATTTAAAACAAATTAAGAAAAAATAATAAAATATTAAGCAAAATTTAAGCAGTAATTTATTACGCAATTAATAAAAATATTTAAAATTTATAAAAGAATAAAAAAATGGCGTGTTAAAAGAATATTAACTTGAAAAATTTATATAAAATTTAAATAAAAAAAATTTCTTAATTCTTAAAGAAAACAAAATCTGGCCAGCTTTAAATAAATTAAAAAAATATATGGTGTTGAAAAGTTTTGAAAAATATTTCATTTTATTTCAAAATTTCTGAAAAAATTTAAAGTGCAGATAAAATTTAAACAAAAAAATACAAAAAAAAGAAATATTTAAAACAACAAGACGTCTTAACAGCGTCTTTCTAAACCAAATGTTTTACTACTTTTAAAATCTCTGAAATTGTATAATTTTTTAATTAACTAGTGATTTTTTTTCGAAATAACGGTAATGCTTAATCTTAAAAACAACGCGCTGGTACGCGTTCATTTACGGTGATAATAATGAATTTAAATCAACACAGTGGTCCAGGTCCACCGCAACAACAAAAAATGAAAACTTTACAAAACTCCAACAATTCCAATACCAACACCACCGTTAATAAAAAAATCACTTTAAACGACAATAAAACCAATTACGATCAAGTTGATTGTGCTTCGTCTAATAGTAACGTTTCGACCATCACTACAACCAACTCGGTAATGTGTGCTTATGTTGGTGGTACCAATATGACTTCGTCAACGGCTTTAAATAATCTTAGTAATGGCGGTAGTGGTGGCGGAGGTCTTGTTAATGGTGCCAATAATTCCTTGGCCGCCTCTAATGTAACAAATGGCTGCTTATCATCTACATCATCTTCGTCCGCCCCTCCTGTGGCCCGTACTATATCCTCAGATCGTTTGGTAACAGGTCCTTCGTGCAAGGCTTTACGTACTGCTGTTTCTGCTTTATATTCTGTGGATGACTTTGTTAAGGAGAAAATTGGTTCGGGGTTTTTCTCGGAAGTTTATAAGGTAAGTTATCATTTTAATTGTCGTTAAGACTAGTCCATAGAGTAGTTTATAGACTAGATAATAGATCAGTTAATAGGCTTGTTAATATACTAGCCAATAGACTAGTCTAAGGACAAGTAAATAGACCAGCCAATAGGCTAGTTAATAGTCAATGGACTAGTCCATAGACTAGTCAATAGACAAGTTCATAGAGTAGTCAATAGACAAGTCCATAGACTAGTCAATAGACATGTCCATAGACTAGTCAATAGACATGTCCATAGACTAGTCAATAGACAAGTCCATAAACTAGTCTATAGACTAGTCATAAGACAAGTTCATAGTCTAGTTAGTAGACAAGTCCATAGATTATTTAATAGACATGTCCAGAGACTAGTCAATAAACAAGTCCATAGACTAGTCAATAGACAAGTCCATAGACTAGTCAATAGACAATTCCATAGACTAGTCAATAGACAAGTCCATAGACTCGAATAGACAAGTCCATACACTAGACAATAGACTAATCATTAGACAAGTTCATAGTCTAGTTAATAGACAAGATCATAAACTAGTCAATAGAAAGTCCATAGACTAGTCAATAGACAAATCCATAGACTAGTCAATGGACAAGTCCATAGACTAGTCCATAGACTAGACAATACACTAATCAATAGACTAGTAATATATAGACAAGTCCAAAGACTAGGCTATAGACAAGTTCATAGACTAGTCAATAGACAACTCCATAGACTAGTCAATAGACAATTCCATAGACTAGTCAATAGGCAATTCCATAGACTAGTCAATAGACAATTCCATAGACTAGTCAATAGACAAGTCCATAGACTCGAATAGACAAGTCCATACACTAGACAATAGACTAATCATTAGACAAGTTCATAGTCTAGTTAATAGACAAGATCATAAACTAGTCAATAGAAAGTCCATAGACTAGTCAATAGACAAATCCATAGACTAGTCAATAGACAAATCCATAGACTAGTCAATGGACAAGTCCATAGACTAGTCAACATACAAGTCCATAGATTAGTCAATAGACAACTCCATAGACTAGTCAATAGACAAGTCCATAGATTAGTCAATAGACAACTCCATAGACTAGTCAATAGACAAGTCCATAGACTAGTCAATAGACAATTCCATAGACTAGTCAATAGACAAGTCCATAGACTCGAATAGACAAGTCCATACACTAGACAATAGACTAATCATTAGACAAGTTCATAGTCTAGTTAATAGACAAGATCATAAACTAGTCAATAGAAAGTCCATAGACTAGTCAATAGACAAATCCATAGACTAGTCAATGGACAAGTCCATAGACTAGTCCATAGACTAGACAATACACTAATCAATAGACTAGTAATATATAGACAAGTCCAAAGACTAGGCTATAGACAAGTTCATAGACTAGTCAATAGACAACTCCATAGACTAGTCAATAGACAATTCCATAGACTAGTCAATAGGCAAGTCCATAGACTAGTCAATAGACAAGACCATAGACTAGTCAATAGTCTAGTCCATAAACGAATCAATAGACTTGACAATGGACCACTCAATAGCATACACACTAGTCAATAGATTAGTCAAGTCACTAGTCATTATAAGAGTCAGTAGCCCAGACTAGTTCATAGACTACTCAATTCAATAGACCAGCTAACAGACAAGTCCATAAACTCGTTCATCCGTCAAAAAGTTATCATTAAAATTCATCCTGAACCTGTTAAATTTCATATAGAACTAAACTTTCTCACAAACTTTCTAAAAAATATATAACAAATTCGCCATACTTTTCCTAATTCGTCAGTTTCCCTATGGATGGATTCGTCTTAGTTAAAGACTTAGCAACATTGTCCCTTTAACACACATACCCTACAAGAAATGTATGACCGAAACTAACACATACAAAATGATTTTACTAACACACTTGCAACATTTTTCTTTAAAAATTACTAAAAAAAAATAGTTAATGGATAATTCCATCAATAATGACGGTCAAATGACCGGTAAAATGACTGTGATTTACTCAATGTGTGATAAAGGGTTTCATTTGCATATGAAAGAGTGAAACAACTACATTTGACTGTCACTGTGTTTTCGTCGCATAAATTAATTATTTCAGTGAAAGCCAAAGATCAAAAAGCAAAAAATTAAAAAATTTAAGACTAAAATTATTAAAAATAAAGAGATTTATTGTAATTTAAAAACGGTGCAGGAAGTAGAGCTGAGAATATACACTTCGGAGTTTAATCTATCTGTGGTAATATGAATACATATTTACTTTTAATTTTTATATTTCAATATTTATATGCATTTCTTTACAGACAATTTATTTCCTAAAATTAAAAGGAGCATAGGAGGATTTTACATTCTGTGAGGTATGTAAAATGGTGAAATGGTAGTTAATTTATGTATATGCTTACTATGTATATTAATAAAATTAAAAATATATATCTTAAAATGTTAATAAATTGTGTTTTATTATAAATTGGCATAGCCGTCAGATTTGACGGATAAATTCATCAAGTGTGATTGGTCAACTGTGATGGATATATCCATAAAGAATGATTAGTCAATCGTGACTAACATTTCCATCATCCTTGATTGGTAAAAAGCAAAAGAGTGAGCAGCTCAAATATATGTTTTAAAATCGGTAGAATTCATAAGTGCAAGGGAGATGCAAGATCACATGTACGCAAAAGTTTCCATCAAATTTTTCATATTGCCCTTAAGAACTTGATAGAAACTTTGTTCTACGCAGTGATCGATATTTCCTTCACTAGTGTCAGTCAAATGACCGGTCAAATGACTGTCACTGTTCTTGTAGGGTATTTACAACAGAAATAAGCTTGCCAGACTTTGGAAATTTATTATTGTTAAAATATTTAACATAAACTTTTAGAAATATATTTCAATTTTTCAAATTAAAAAAAAGTTCCCACACTACAACCTATTTCATTTTAATCCTTTATAAATACTAAATTCAACCAAAAAAATATATAATTCTGTAAAATATTTCTGAGATTTTTCATTTACAACTCCATCCATCCATCCATTAATTCATTCATCATCATTATGTCTGACTCCAAAAAGATTATAACACACTCACACACACACAACGTTTGTTGTCATGATGAGCTAGCTGCAACATCATTGCAACAATGTAGAATTTAACAAATAAATATATTTCTTGCTTTTAATAGATTTAAATCTAAATTACGGCAAAATTTCTACACTACACTTTAAGCAAAGCAACTAAACTCAACAACATTTAACTACTGCACTACACGTCACTCTACAAGTTAAATTAACACATTCAATTTTCAAACACAAGACACTTGTCTCTAAGACATCTTTGGAAAAAAGTCTCTATACAAAGAACTTGTTGGTAACTTGTTGCAACAAGTTTACTGCTGCCTTAAAATGTATTTAATTCTCAGAGTCATGTTTGAAGATAATGCGTATGTTGGCTGCCACATTTTGATGCCAGTTAATAGATATTGAAATTATTTTTGAAAAAAAAACCAGATGTGAAAAGTAATAAGAAAAAAAATTAAATGTAATTTTAAATTATCAACATTGAAAGTAGAATACTTTGTTAAAGAAGTTGTTTACTTTGTAAGTAATCATAGATGAGTGACTGATTGACTATGTGAATGCCATTATAAATAAATGACCTCATAAATAAATAAACGACAGTCTGGCATCTTCCTTAGGCAAATATTAGTAAACAAGGCGAATTCATTATAACTGACAGTGACAATTGAAATGTACATAAATATTAGCCAATAACTACCAGTAATGGGATTTAGCGTTTATTAAACAAGAAAATTTAATAAAAATAAGTTAAAATTTATAAAATCTATAATTTTATTTAACAATTTTATTAAATTGCTAAATATTACATTTCAAATATTTGCCATATTCTTTTGTGCATTTAAAATGGTTTTGCTGTTTAATTTTATAATTGTTTTTAACCAAAAGAAAAAGAGCAATACAATAATTTCTGCTATTGTGTTTCTGTATAACAGATTAATTTCACTTTTAATTGGTTTGCAATATTTTTTATATATTCAGCTGTTAACACCCTACATAAGTCAGCACGTTCCGAGATTATGGCACTTTACAGAAATGTTTAAAAGTGTAGAAATATAAACATTCACTTATTTTCTGTTTTTGACAGTGACTTCACTTTTTTAGATTCGCCTTGGTGAAATACTTTTAACAGTCGATTCATTTCATGCGAAATACGTCTTCAAACTTCTTGTATACAAAATATTACGAATTCGTCCTTCTTTGGTTCAATTCGTATTCAATTTCACTTTTGAGGTTGTTAAACTCCAAACTCTCACAACTAACGCAATCGAAATCCATTTGTTAAAAGTATTAGGAGTTCATCAATGACTTTACCTTGAACCCCACCTTGTAGTCGATTCTTTTTGAACTCCAATTTTCTCAATTCATCGTAAGAGTGACGAATAAATGTCTCTCTATTTCTCTCTAGCTTTTCATAGTGTAAGTATCTAAATGTCTCGCTATCTCCTCACGAGAACCCCGTCATTTTTGGGCGTAATGTAGCTGTTATTATGGCTATTATTTATTAAATTAGTTTTGTGTACACTTCTGCATTCAGTTTGTCCTACAGACAATCCCACGTTCCGCTCTTTCGCGCATATGTCACAACTAAAGCCTACGTGTGTTTATAATCCTACATGAGATATTTGAATGACACTGAGTCGGGCCATTGGTGTAGCTCGTTCTGCCTGGGATGTATGTTACAAAGCCCACGAACAAAACAAATCGTTTTAAAAAAAATTTGCCACTGAACAATTTTCATAATATTTATGAATTTTTTTCATAATATTTATGAATTTTTTTTTCATAAAATTTATAAAACAAATTATAAATTTCAAGAAAATGAAATTTGCTCCATATTTCATTAAATACTTTCCCATGTACTAGGAGTTTAAAATTTATGATTATTGTTCATAAATATGATGTTTAAAGGGTTTTTATGAATGCGTTCATAAATTTAATAACTGTTTCATATTATAAAAGAATATAGCTTGGTCGAGGGTTAATCTGCTTATATTGATTTGCTCTAAGATTCTAGCATGATGCTGTGAATTATGATTCTAGCAATTTTTGCAGCTATTGGCCGGTGAGTGTTTAATTCAGGATCGCAAAGTCTAACAGTACAACGCAGTGGCAGCTTTTGAGGTCCTAGATTGAATGTTTAGTAGGGTGAT